CTTAAGAAAGAAAGTGGTGGATCAGTGGAATAGGTTGGGTACACAAGACACAGTAGTCAATGACTATAGTAATCTACTGTGTGATAAATCCAAACACCCCAGCTTCTGGGATAAGAACTCACTATTTGACAAAAACAGGTAGGAAAACTGGAAAAGTTTGGCAGAAACTAGGTATAGACCAAAATCTTACACCCTATACCAAAATAAAGTCAAAATAAGTACACAATTTAGATATAATAAAGGCTGATACTATAAGCAAACTGGGAGAGCAAGGAATAGTTTACCTTTCAGATCTATGGAGAAGGGAAGAATTTATAACTAACAAGAGATAGAGAACATTATGAAATACAAAATGGATAATTTTTATTACATTCCATTGAAAAGTTTTTGCACAAACAAAGCCAACGCAACCAAGATTAGGAAGGAAGTAGAAAACTGGGAAAGAATTTTTACAACCAGTATCTCTGATAAGGGCTTCATTTCTAAAATACATAAAGAACCAATCTCTTCTTTTGTTAGCAAATATAGCATATATTAGCAGATATGCTAATAAGTGCTGGCTAATATAAGGCAGCAAAAATTAAAAATGTAAAAATGGACCTTGGATTCACTTACTGAAAAAAATGCATTCCCTCATGGTCAACAATAAATAAGTCCCTTTCAAATTATGAAAAGTTAGCTGTGTTATTCTCAAAAGGACAATTAAATGAGTCCTCAGCTATAGCCACCCACCAGAACAGCAGAAACAGTAAGCTAAGCTGGGAACAATGGGAGTTCTATGGTAAACTTTCACAGCTATACCAAACCACACAAAATAAATCACTGAAGCCAAAGCAAGTTAGATCATTAAGAAACAAAAGAAGAAAAGGGTGAAAGAACAAAATGGGAAGAGTGACTGGGGGAAAATCTGATGTTTCCTATGATTCTGTTAGTATATGGAAGAGAAGGAACTTTCTCTACCAGTGAAGGTTCATCCCCTTCTCCAAAACTTATGTTCTTAAAGAATTGCCTAGAGCATTGGTATCAAACTCAAAAAGAAGGAGCACCCCCTACCATCAAATCGTATTCCCTTGCACCCAACAAACTGACTTAGGAGATCACAGTTAACATTATCTGTGTTCTATTGTATTTTTATTCATTTTGTTAAGTATTTCCCAATTATATTCTAATCTGGTTTTCACAAAACTCTGGCCAAGAGCATTGATGCATTAAATGATTTGCCCCATCACAGAGAAAATATATGTTAGAGGCAAGACTTGAAACCCCAAAAACCAGCTCTCTATCCTTTACACCTTACTGTCTTTCTCCTACTTGTCAATGTGAATACTTATTGCATGAGTAATAAATCAAAAATATATAATTGACATCTGCTGATGTTTTTTCTCTAAATCCCTAAAATTTGAGTGTGTAGGAGTTTTTTTTACTTTATTTTTTATTTCAGTGACATCTGTTATAAGACAACACCAGCATCTAAAGCTTTACATGGGAAATGCTAGATACTTATGACATTCTCTCAAATCAGTCTATACCACCAAGAAACAATTGGTGTCTTTCCACAATAATGCTTACTGCCAGACAGGTGTATTTTTATACATTTTATATATATTATATACACACACACACACATATATGGTTATATGTATATATACACACACATGTGTACATCTGTGTCTACATATGTGTATATACACAGATGTAATACATACATACATATATACACATACATACATACACATACACACACATATAAAATGACCTTTATACTGCTGCTAGTTACAAGTGATTAAAATCTACTGGATTTGTGGAATGTAACCAATGTTTCAACTCACAAGCTATACCCTTACACAGTATGTTAACCATTTGACAACCTACAATTTGGGTAACAAAAGTTGATTTTCAGTAGTACATTTGAGACTACTATTAGCACCTGATGTAAAATTTCAAAGCAGGAGAACTGTGTCTTTGATGCCCCTTTACTATTTTATCTCCTTTTCTTAACCCTTATACATCCTGGCTCCCTTCTTCTCAGTTATTATCCAGTGCCTGTAAACTGCCCAAAGCCTTGCAACACTTTAGCATACTACCACAGCTCTAGCCTCTCCAGAAGCATCCCACATTTCAAAATTAGTTCTCTCTCACATCTATCATACATCTTAAATCAAAATTCCTATTGCCACAAATCTCAGACTTGGGCCAGTCTACTGAAATTAATTCAGAGAAAAATATGGGTGATCAATAAAGTTAACTGATACATTTGCATTTTAAAATAAGAATGACAATTTTAAATGGATTTCTAGTGAGAAGATCATGTTATAGAAAGTTCCCCTGCCTCCTGAATATTTCTGACCTCATTCCTTTGCTCTGGCAAGGGCCACACACTCCATTTTTCAAAGAAGCCATTTCCTCTCTGGTTTTTAGGAAGGGAGTAGGACAGTAAAGTTACAATAACTAAGCACCTCCACCTCCCTTTTTGCATCCATTTTCCATCTTCTTTTGTCCCCACTCTCCAAGTACCAAATGATGTTCCTTGTAAACTGCCTGCTGCCCATAACCCAGAAAATTCATAAACCCATTTAAAATGAAGATGATTCCCTCCCTCATAAAATTTGGCATTTGAATGACTACCAGTTATTTTGGTAGGTCCTCCTTCCTCTTTTCCCCTGAATGTGCCCTTCTTATTAAAAGAAAAGGATAGAGGAATCTGAAGAACAGGTACTCATAGAGTGCAAGGACTGGAACCTAAAGGACAACCAAACAAGGAAATAATATTTTGGTTAACAGTCCAACTGAAGGGTTCTTCTCTCCCACCACACAGACTCTCTGTGCATAAATTTCCATAGTAATCTACTGAAAAATCACATCACTTAGGAGAGCAGAAAGGTAGTATACTGGATTTCAATGACTTAGGGAGAGAAAGTGAGACTGATGACTTTGAGAAATTCTGTCTCACCTAAATCCAATTCATGGGCAAGTCAAGATATCACCCATGATGTCACTGGTCCTCTGAAAACGAAGGATGAACAACACCACAAAGATTCCATTGAGAAAACTGGGGTTTGGCATCAATGCTTCCTTCAAACATCATTTGCCCCAGGTCTACCCCCAAACCACTGTGACTGGCATCCTATTTCTTTATACCTGGTAATCCTGTTAAAAACACTTCTGTACTTCATTTCCAAATCCTCACTAATATTTAGGTAGACCCCCTGAGTTCTAGTGTTTCCAAGAAAAAACATGCAAGGATTGCATTTGAATATGCAACTCACATTGGTCAATTCAGTCTTTGAATCCCCAATGCCTAGCACAGGTCTAGCTCAGAAAAATATTTCTTAATTGCCCAATATCTCTTAGCAACTCTGATAAAAAGATGATTTGTTCATATTTGGGAGGGAAGTTGGAGGAACAGTTTGAAATTAATGACTAAATTTAATCTTTAATTATCAATAGAAGTCAATTACCCCTATTTCCACAACTCTAAAGCAGATAATCAACTTGCAGCATTTATTTCAAAATAGGATGGTTGGGTAATCTTAAATTCAAACTAATTTATACCAGAACTACTTCATATGTCCAACAATTCAATTTCCATTCATTTATTGAGCTATATAACTTATATTATTCATTTAAAACCATATTTCTAGCACACATTTGTCTTTGTTATCCATCACAATTGTTGACAATAAATCTACTAAATAAAATTAGTTTAGCAACTATTCATCAAATTTCCAAAACCCTTCTTCAGTAATAATTAGCAATATATTAAAAATTAGGTAATAGTAACTTTTATTCCATGTGTAAAGGAAAGCTAACTAGTTGTATATTCCAGATAATGGAAAATATTAGGGAAATGTTCATCCAGACATATCGGTAAAGAGACTTGCACCATAATTATGAACTATTTTAAATCTGAATTTTTCATTCTCATACACAAAGAAAAGAATTTACTGAAGAAGCAGAATAATTCCATGACCTCACATTACTTTTAACTGGACATACTTTGAATTCTTTGTACTACTTTTAAATTATGAAAAAGAATTCATAATCCAGAATAGCTTTACTTTCACCTTACTGTAATATAGTTCAAACATTAATTTTACAATGCACAATTTTCTCTTTACAGTTAAAGGGGGGGAGCTAATTTTCTATTCTATGAATAAATTTTTTTTCAATCAGTAGGCTTAGCTGTTTAAATTTATTTCCCCAAGCAGGCAAGATTAAGCTTAATTTCAAAATTACAGAGTTTTAAGTCACAGTTAACTATCATATCTTAGTAGTATTAGGAAACTAAGAAAACATTTTATGACAATGTTATATCTAACTTTCTAATTCACTGTTCCAACAACAATGCACTAAGCAAGAGTACAGTCTGAACTAGAGGTAATTGGGAAATATTTAACAAAAGGAATGAAAATACAACATATATAATGTTAATTTGTAGTTTTCTGCATCAATGTCGAGGCTTCAGGGATCCACTTCTATTTGAATTTAACACCACCACACTAGTGACCCTATTTCCCCACAAACTCTCCAACACTGATTATTCCCATCTTAATCATCTTTGGCAGTTTGCTGAGTATAAGGTGAAACTTCAAGACTGCCTTAATTAGCATTTCCCTTGTTGGTGATTTTGGAGCCTTCAGCCTTCTTTCATATGGTTAGGAATTTGCAATTCTTTTGGGAACTGTTTGTTCCTATCACTTGACCACTTATCTACTGGGGAATGGCTAATGTAAGTCTCTGTATGTATATTGTTTACATAGCTCAGGTACCAAACCCTAATTCAATACCTATATTTTCAAATATTAAGTCAATAGTTCCCTCTTAAACAACCATCACTAATGCTCAAGGTATGTGTACCCTACAAATGGTTTTAGTAAACCTTGAGTTTCTCTGAAAATCATCTTTTTAATTATTACACATTATCATGAATACCATTGGCTATTAAAACAAAAATTAAGAAAAATAGCAGTATTGCAAAAGAAATGTTAAGTATGACTTACCCCATCCAAAAGTGTGTTTGACAAATGAATACGAAGATCTTTACGGAACGGGAATTCCAAATTTGACACATGAAAGACTGAATTGTCTCTATCTATCATAAAAACTTCATTTGTGCCATCAATCAACATCATATACCTGAAAATGAAGTAGTACAAATTATTTGAGGAGTGTTATAACACCCTAAAAAAACACTCTACAAGATGTTATTACTATTAATGACAATCTATTATATCTGGACTCACGACAACCAAGATTGCAAAGATGTTCTTTGTTGGCTTAGTTCTCAAACAGATGTTTAGTAATGAATATAATTAGAATTAAAAGGAAATAAACAGATTTAAAAACTCTTTACAACAAATTCCCCTGATAACGATCTATTATCCAGTATTTTTAGGGAATTTGTATAAATATAGAAGGACAAGGGCCATTCCTCAATAGACAACTGGTCAGAGGAGTTCGACAGATAGATATAGACAGATAGACAGACATGGCACACAGACACACACACACACACACACACACACACAGACACACACACACACACACACACACTCTCTCTCTCTCTCTCTCTCTCTCTCTCTCTCTCTCTCTCTCTCACTCACTCTTAAAGAAAATCAAAAAATAGGAGCAGCTAGGTGGCGCAGTGAATAGAGCTCTGGCCTTGGAGTCAGGAGAACCTGAGTTCAAATCCAGACTCAGACACTTAACACTTTCTAGTTGTGTGACTTTGGGCAAGTCACTTAACCCTGATCGCCTCAGAAAAAAAAATAAAAAGATCAAAAAATAAAAAGAAAATGATAACTGTTAAAGAGATTGAGGAAGGACAAAGAGATTAATACAATGTTGTGGAGCTGCAAATTAATGCAATCATTCTGAAAAAAAAGTTTTCAAAGTGTACCCAAAAAGTCTTTAAGATGTGTATATTCTTTGACCCAGTAATACCACTACTAAGCATATGCTTCCAAAGAGATCAAATGCAATGGGAAAGGCCCCATAAGTATATAATATTTATAGCAACATTTTCAGTGCAAAGAACTGAAAATAAGTGGGCACCTAATAATTTGGGAAGAACTGAACAAATTATGGTACATGAATATAAACGGAATATCATTGCATTACCAAAAAAAATTATAAAAGAGACAGATTCAGAGAAATCTGAGAACTTATATCAACTAATACAGAGTGAAATGAGCAGAACGAGGACAAAGAACAATTTAAGAGACAACAGTAACACTGTAAAGGAAAGTAAGTTTGAAAGACTTGAGAACTCTAATCTATGCAAGACCGAACCACAACCCCAGAAAACTGACCATGAATCATGCTTGGCACCTCTTGGCAGAGTGTGATCAACTAGAGGTGCTGAATGAGACATGCATTTTCAGAAGCATCTTGGTCCTGCCAGCTAATAGGTGGATTTGTAATTGCTTACTCAGGTTATAAGCAATAGCTTTAATTTTTTGTTTGAGAATGAGATTTATGAGGAGAATAATTTTTAAAAAGAGGGAAAAGAGAGAGGCAGAGCCAAGATGGCAAAGTAAGGGCAGGGCCTTGCCTGAGCTCTCACCCCAAACCCTCCAAAAACCTTAAAAAACAGCAGAACCCACAAAAATATGGGGTGAAACAAATTCCCCGCCCAAGACAATTTGGAAGATTGGCAGGAAAGGTCTGTTGCATCAGGGTGAGAAAAAAGTGCAGTCCAGCACAGGCTGGGTCACTGCAAACTGGCTCCAGGAAACCAGGAACAGGCCTTTGGAGTGACCATATCAACAGAAAAAGCAGCTGCTTCTGGAGCTCTTAGCCCACAGACAGTAAGGGGGTCGAACAACTGGTCAGAAGATTACAGAGGTCTTTTTGCTAATGTTGAGGCAATACTCTGCTCCTTTGCCTATACTCAGATCCAGGTCACAGTCCTGGGTGGCAGTCCCAGGGCGAGGAGGAGCACCAGCACACCAAAGCTTACAGCCACAGTGGAAGGGAGGACTCCTTTCACAACTCCAGGGCAGAAAAGAGTGCTTATGGTCACTCATAGACCAGAGTACAAGCCAGAAGAGTAGTTAAACACCTCTCCTTAAGTCATACCACCTTGGAAAAACTGAAAACTTACAGGTCTCTAAAAGTATCTCTGAAAACAGCTGCACAACACCCTGAAGCTTGGTACAGTGGGCCCTCCACCTGGAAACAGAGCCCTACTTCAACAAAGACTTAAAAGTCAAGCAATAGGCTGGGAATTGAGCAAACAATGGGGAAAAAAACTGACTACAGAAAGGTACTATGGTGACAAGGAAGGTCAAAACATACATTCAGAAGAAGAAAACAAAGTCAAAGCTCCTACTTCCAAAGCCTCCAAGAAATATATGAATTGGTCTCAGGCCACAGAAAAGCTCAAAAAGGATTTTGAAAATCAAATAGGAGAAGTAGAGGAAAAACTGGAAAGAGAGATGAGAGTGATGCAAAAAAATCATGAAAAACTAGTCAACAGCTTGCTAAAGGAGACCAAAAAAAAAAATACTGAAAAAAATAACACCTTAAAAATAGCCTAACCCAAATGCAAAAGAGGTCCAAAAAGCCAATGAGGAAAAGAATGCCTTAAAAGGCAGAACTGGCCAAATGGTAAAGGAAGTCCAAAAGCTCACTGAAGAAAATATTTCCTTAAAAAGTAGAATGGAGGAAATGGAAATCAAGACATTGTAAAATAAAACTAAAGAATGAAAAACTAGAAAACGCCATGAAATATCTCACTGGAAAAACAACTAACCTGGAAAACAGATCCAGGAGAGACAATTTTAAAATTGTTGATCTGAAAGCCACGATCAAAAAAGGAGCCTAGACATCATCTTTCAAGAAATTATCAAGGAAAATTGCCCTGATATTCTAGAACCAGAGGGCAAAAGAGAAATGGAAAGAGTCCACTTATCACCTCGTGAAAGAGATCCTCAAAGTTTTAAAAATGAATGTTAAAATTTATTTTTACAAGTAACTGGAGAAATGCTTTTTTAAATAAATATTTTTTCTAAAAAAGAGGGAAAAGAACATCAAAAACACAGAAGAAAGCAGAAGGAAGTTCAGAAGGAAACACTGAATGGTTCATTAGTGGAAGTGTCCATTAAACTTAATATGTGTTTTTGAAAAACAAGTTGTACATAATAACTTTGGTGGCTGAGAAATAATCCTTTTTCTGTTCTTCATAAACAAAATACTTGCAATTGTTGACATTTGTCAAATTTATAATAATTAATAATAACAATAAATTTTGAAAATAAAAGTTGCTTAGGTTAAACCACCAGATTTAACAAGACTGAATTTTTAACATGGGCAGGTTAAAGTAATATATAAAATTGTAAACCTACAAATGATATCCTCTCTATCGAAAACATGGGAAAGACAGTGTTTTTCAGTAACATAATGTAACTGTCAAACACAATCTTTCCTTAACATTGCCTAGAAAGGATTTTTTTTTAATGAGTTCTGGAATTTTTGTTATATCCCTTAACATCAAAGTCCTTCTATGGCATGTTAAATTGATGACAATAACTTGTTTTATATCATAGCTAAAAGTTATTGCTGAAGAGTAATACTAATACTCCTAAACACAAAATAATGTTATTTAGCAATTAACAAATTTTTTTTTAAAGACATAAAAGCTTAGATACACATGGACAAAGAATTATCAACTACAACCTTGGAAGGCATTAAATTGTGCTAATTTTAATACTCATGTACAGAATCAATCCTTCTGTTAGATGAGGTGACAGAGTCGATTTAAAAAACATAACAGCCAAGGAGGACACAGTATTTAAGAACTGTCATTAGTAAAAACTGTCAGAAATTTCCTTGAAACAAAAGGCACCCTGACATTTTAAAACATCACATTTCCCCTTTGCTGTCTTTTACTGCAACCAAAGTGCAGAGACTAAAGAGTGAAGAAAGAGAATTGAAAAGAGAGGAACCTTCTGTTCTCATGGAAGGCTAGAGCCCAGTCCTCCAAAATCTCCATTTAAGGAGTGAGCCCAGCTGAGAACTTCTGATTTCTCACCTGACTGCAGTACTCTGGGACATCTCTGACTATTCTACCATGTTACAAGAAGCTCTTTATTGGGAAAACCTCATCTTTAGTCTCAGTACTTTAACTCATAACTATCTTTTGTCCTTCTGATTAAGGGTAGAGCCATGAACACCAAAACCTCCATTTAAGTAAGGATCCCAGCTCAGATTCTCATTACTTCTCACCTGGTTACACTACTCTGGACACCTCTACTTCTTTCTCCACCATGTTTCTGTCTATCTGATACCTCAACTTCCCCACCCTTGCCTGTGTTGTCTTGTAAGCCTCTTGAGGAAAGAGAGTGCCTTTCTTTTCTTTTCTTTTTTTTTTGGGGGGGGCAGGAGGGGGTTTAGGATTTGTATCCTCACCACTTAGCCCAGCAACTGGCAGAGAGTAGATCATTAAATGTTTACTGACTACTGACTATTCCAGTCTCCTGTGTTGACATATTCTTAGAAGAAAATGAGAAGTGACCTAATACCTTGAGCCTCAGCAACCCAAGAAGACGCAGCTGAGAAGGAATTTGTTTGTTCGCTCAGAAGGAACTCACTTGGCCAAAAAGTCCTATTACATTAAAAACTGGTATCCTGTTAAGTATTTGTAAGCTATAGTATATTCTGAAAATGTATATACCAAAGCTTATTTATATTACTCCAGTATAAATGCTATACAGTATTATTCCAAACTGTCTCAAGTTATTCCACTGAAAACTTATAGAATCATTCTGTGCCCATTTTAAATTATATAAAGAATACAATAACATTAATAAAGCTATTGCTTGACTGGAGAAAAAACAAAGAAATAAGAAAAAAATTCCCATCCATCCTTTAAAGTCCAAATTAAATGCAATATTCTCACTCTCATCTGATCTTCCATGATGGAAGGGACCTTATCCCACAGCCCTCAAACAGCACATTGGTTTGCAGTGCTGTATATTACAGATAGCTGTGCTTGTGTTTTATTCCACCTAGTACACTACATGAATTCCATGAGAGCAAGAACAAAGACTGTGTCCTGTCTACACATTATGCTTGCACAGTGCCATGAACTGTATTCAGTGAACTTCACTGAAAAAATGTATGTGTTAAATGAA